AGCGAGCATGTGGCATCAGAATAGGGGGCAGAGAATATGCTAAGCAGACAATCAGAGGTGTACCCCCTGGTGCTAAACAGCCAATCATAGCTGTCCCAGTGTGTGTCACCAGCCAGCAGGAGGCAGAATTAGTCCTGGTTAGCAGCCAGAGCCCTGCCGAGTGGCTGATTAGTCTTTTAGACTGAAGAGGAGACCGAATGTTAGAAGTCCAACTGCATGTCTGAGAGTCTTTTGCACACCAGACAAAGGCAAGGGCTTTTGTATATGGAAAAATACGTTAGTAGCGTCATTGCTGCCTTGTGAATGTGCGACACTGAAATGAATTGGGATCACTAGAAAAAACGTTATTGCATTTATTGTCTGACTGTGTTTTAGACTATTTTCTATATACATTTTTGTTGTTGTTTTCTGTCCAGTGGAGGCAACCGACCTTTCCTGTAGGATTTTCAACAATTGATTCAGGGCAGGCTTTCCACTGAAGCAACGTGCACACAGAGCTGCTTAATGGTTCGGCCAAAAAGAATGCCTTGCTTAACTGGCCTGTGATTGGTCAAAGTCTCCCATCACGGGCCAGATTTCCCCAAGGCTGGAAACAAGAGAACAGTAGAAGTGCAGTAGTAAGTCTAGATTTCTCTCAGATCACTTGATCGACATTCTGCCCAAAGCCTATAATGGGATAATTGCTCAATAACGGCAAAAGTATGGTAGTTACCTGACCCAGCATCGATAAGAGGTATATACACTTTAAATGAAGAGTTTGTAAGATATTGCACTGTAGTTTGTAAGCAGATGCTCAATAATGTATTGTTAACAACTTCAACTCTTCCTCTCTGCACCCAAAGGTGAAAATGGTCTGTAAACACAGAAAAGTAAAATTTGTTAGTAATAATATTAATTAGCCTTTATAGTCGAGCTACATTTATACATAAAGCACATTAAGAACAACCTCTGTAAAACTGATCCAAGAGGGTGCATGTAAAGGGAAAATAAAAGTGAGCCTAAAATCAAACCCTGAGGGACTCCACAGTTGATTGGAGCAGATGATGAGGAGCAGTTTTCTATCTTAACTAAGAAAAATCTTTCCTAAGATGTAGTGCTGGATCCTGCAAACCAACTTTGACCACAAATAGGATAACTTATAATTGTTGACTAATAGTATTATGCTGCTGCCTGTTGGCGACCGAAAGTAAACTGTTACCCATGATGCCTTCTTCGGCAATGCCTGCTATAAACTCTGATTAACTGGTAATGGATTTTTTTTCATCCATTCTTCTCGATGTCACCACTTGCCTGGTTATTAATTAATCGCTCTCCGTCTCTGTGTGTCCCCCTCTCTCTGCTTTCAGCGTCTGGTCCTGTTTGTCATCTGGACGCTCTGCGCTATTCTGTTTTCTTTTCTCAGAACAAATGCTTGCATTCATCCATTTGTAATCTAATAAAGAAATGGCAGCAATCTGTATGTTCCTTTCAGGGGACTGGATGACTTTGAGCACCAGATGCTGATGTTCCCCCAGAGTCGTTACCGTGATGGAGCCGATCCTTAACTGTCTCCTATAAAGACACATACTTCCACACACACACACACACACACGTACATGCCGCCTCCCTTCACTCACGCGCTCAGTGTGGTGGCAGGATTAACCTGCTGGTAGCAGAGTAAATCCAGCACAGCACTGCCTCCGCCTCTCTGTCTGTGTCTGTGGAGGCCTGGTTATCCCTTCACATGAGCTACCCGTTCAAAGGGCCAGCCGCCGGGTATTAATGATGTGTTAAAGGGGCGACCATGGGGGATTTGGACGCCGCTTTCTGTAAGGACAGGAGATCTAGGAGCACAGACCAGTGGTTAGTGCTCACTGAAGTATGATTAGTTAGACACTGAATCCCCCAACACACACACTCACACAATGACGGACAGGTTCTATATTATTATTCTATATACCCAGAAGACCACATGTAGGCGATGAAAGGACAACACCACTGTGCTTGTCTTATAGTAAATATACCTCTGTACCTCTGCTGACCTATAGGACAACAGCAGTTAAGTCTCCAGGGTTGTCACAGCAGAAGAAGTGTCTGCAACATGATTTATTTATTGCTATGACCTATACTGCAGCCAGCCACCAGGGGGTGATCAAGGGGAGCCGTCGTCCATATTTATCGTGTTTGTTTTGGGCATCTTTTGCGGGGGACAGCTGAAAACCACATAGTGTTTACCCACCACAAGAAATACATTGTCTGAATGGTTTTCTGGATATTGTGTTTAAATCAGTGAAGCAGTGCCCCCTTCACTGCATAAAAAAAGGAGAGAGGGATAGAAAGAGAGAGCTGCTGTGAGATTAGGAGGCATATGTACAGGTGGTGATAGTTCGTAGGGATCAGTGCGCTGAGCAAGATGTTAAAGCCGGGTTTTCTCGTCACCCACTCCCAAACACAACCCACGACAAGCCTACCGCGACCCCCTTAATCCCCCCTCCCTCAATAAGCCACTCAGCCCCCTACACACACACACACACACACACGTCCAGTCTGCTACCCATCTACCCTCAAAATATGCTCCCGTGCAATCTCCTGCGCATCAGCTGCCAAATGAAGTTCCTCTTTAGAGTAAAAAAACGTGGCTGGCGAATCATCTGAGGCATCGTGGCAGGCGGCGAAGGCAGCCCTTGTACTGAAGCCAATAATCCAGCATCAGGGCTTCAGGCGCACAGAGGGTCGAGATTGACAGGGCTCGATATGAGGCTCTCGCCTCACTTGACATTTGGGTTTCATAAGGTCTGGAACAAAAGGCAGGGGCAAAATAATCAGAGAGGGGCGCAGGCAAATAAATCTGTTTATTCCTCTTCACCTGCCCCCCTCCCTCACCTCTGCACCTCCTCTGCTCAGCCCTTGGAGGGGAAAGAGGGAGGGCACGATATTACCTTTTCGGAGCCTTGGTGGATTCACGCGCCACGGCAGCAGGTCACTTTAGGCCCTGTGCTTACTTGAGATATTAGTTTGTATGTGTGGTAGATAGAGATGTGTATTTGAATGGCTGGGGTGCTGTGTCTGTGTGCACAATCCTGTGTTTGTATGAGCGAGAGGCAGAGACAACAGGGAAGACATCGAGACAGAGGCAGATGGACGGACGAGGATTGATGTGGTGTCATATAGTGGATAACAGTTTGTAAGCCCGTGTGTGTTTGAGCATGAAATAAAGAAAAAAGGTATAACATGTAAGAATGATAGATGCCGTGCTTTATCATGTCATAGTAGCGCAGAGGCTTTGATATACAATTAGCCACACGTATTATAACAAATCTAATTCTAAATGTGGCTATAAGAGGTGATAAATTCAGAGAAAGAGAAGAAATATGAAGTGTAATGCAGCTTGAGATGATTAAGATTTCATTACTCGGTGAGTTAGTGCAGCTAAATGACTTAACGCAGCGGTTTGGTGAGCTGCTGACCCAGCAACAGTGTGTTTCATCCACCCCCTGAACGTCTACTCATAGTGGTAAATAGCTGACATAGTGCATACACTGATTCGCTCAATGAAAGGATGTGTGTATACATGCGATGGACTGAGTTCCACTTTCAGTGCACAACCTTTAACTGAGTGCAAGTTTTTTAATTGGATCAGTTACGAAGGAGTTGACGAAATACTGCAAAAACAGACACATGCGTTTATGTTCGTCTTTGATTGGTCTGGTTGATCTGTTACGTAACATGACCGAACTCAATCCACTTATAATTTTTGGTGCCTAAATTTTTCTCATTGTGTTACATGAGACAGTTTGAGTACTTCTACAATGAGTTGTAGTGATTTGGTTAAAATACCGGAGCAGCTATCGGCTTTCGGACACGAACACAGAAAACTTCCAGACCTTCTGCACTGGGACAATATGTGAGTGAGAGGCTCCAAACGTTCTCTGGCCACGTGAGAAAACTGCAGGAGATCCTCCGGAGGATTCACCGTGAGCAAGTGAGAGAGCGTTGGTGACGTTTCTAACAAAACTGAAAGATAATACAAAAGAAAAACACGTTTCTCGGGAAAGAAAAGCAATCGAATACACGGAGAAAACACAGATGAAGATGTCAAAAGAGCTTTGGGTGACTGTGAATGTTTGGCACATTCCATTTTTATTGTCTCTCTTGTGTCAATCATGATGTTTCATCCCAAGCTGTCAACCATTTTTATAGCATCAAGCGAACAAACCTCAGCGTAATAAGAACACGTAAAATGACAGAAACCGTATTTTTGAAAAAATAATGCATATTTGACGTGTACTTTGTACTAACCCTGAACCCTGAACCCTGAACCCTGCATTGCCCTATAGACGGCTGTGGTGACAGTGTGTGAGTGGTTGTGTGATAGAAAAATCTTTGCGTATACGTGTATGACGTGTACACATATGTGTGTGAGTGGGTGAATACGACTTGTGCTGTAAAGCACTTTGAGTGGATGATAAACTCTATCTCAATACAGCCCATTAACCATTAGTGGGTTTGTTGTCCAGTGGAAAACGGCCTTAATATAAACCACCTGTTTAGCAGTAAATATCATTTAAATGGACTTTAATTAGGTATTCATTTTTTGCTTAACCATGATTCACATCCTGTAGGAGCAGGCTGGGGTACAAATACATCTGAAAGAGAATTTAATTGCAGGGTTGTACGTGTGATCTGTGGACACAATAGCAGATTGTTTTAATAGGTGATTCAATTAAAAAAGAAACCGGAACAACACGAGACTCCGAGGGGCCATATGTTCTCCTCTGCCTGGAAGTGTCCATTAAAAAAACACACATAAGTCAACAGATAGTTTCCAGATTAATCCCTGTGACATGTTTTAGTAGCAGACCGAGCCCCCACGTGGGGAGTCTGCATAAACATCACCCTGTTGGAGGGGATTGGATGGAAAACAGATGACTGGCAGCAAGGTGGAGCGCACCGGCTGCTGCCACTGGCTGTGTTTAATGGCCGCTCCGCCCTCAGACCACACACCATTGGCTTCGCGGAGGAGCCGGGAAGTTGTAGTTCTTTACGGCGGACGCACATCTGTAGTGCTTATTATCGACTAATATGAATTAAACTACACGTCCCGACTTCACGCTACGGGCTCCGGTAATTGTTGTGAATATGTAATTGCGCTCCGGCGACTGGCTGCTGCTAAATTTGGCTCGACGGGGGCACAGGCTCCGGCAGCAGCTGAGGTGGTCGCTCCTTCCGACTGTGGATGTCAACAATCACGGAGGCTGTAGGAAATTAACCGGTAGATTCGTGACGGGGAGACGCCGTGGAGACACTCAGGCGTGGAGGTCACGATGTGCCACAAGTCAAAGCTTTGTAGGGAGAATTAGAGGAAAGCAGAGGGGAGATTTGAAAGCTTTGCGCGCACAGAATAACGCGCAGGAGATTTTGGAGAGGGGCAACTCCTGCTTTGAGTATCTCTCTGAATGGACTTTTTTTTTAAAACACTGTCGTCCTGTGTTTCACCAGCCAAAGATCCGAGGATGTTTTCGCTCTTCACGGAACCTGCACGCAGCCTTCAAACTGGCCACTGACTGAGCTTTTACGCACGGCGAAGGATCTGTGCTCACGCGTTTTGTTCTCTTGTTTACGTGGAGGAACTTTGCGAAACCTTCTTAATGATTCGAGATCTGAGCAAGATGTACCCCGTGGCACGGCATCAGGTAAGTGTGGAAGCAGTAGAAGCCGAGGGCGGTGTGTCCAAACCGCGCGTCTGATGCGTAATCTGTTCACAATAAGTTTCCGTGCCACCGCGCGCCCGCACGGACAATTGCGCTCATTGTCGAATTTCTGCAGCTGCGTGTGTGTGTGTGTGTCTGAGTGTGCGTGGGTTAACGTGCAAGAACAGTGAGAGAAACCAAAAGGCCATCCGTGTAAAACAGAGAGGCCTATTGTCATCTACAGTCTCGCCTCTGTGTGTGTGTCGTGCCACTTTGGTGACTTTGGTGGCTCAGTTCTTCCTCTCTTCCCTCGCATGCTGTCTGGTTTGGGTTGAGGTCCCACACCAGCCGGGGCAGCCGTTCAAGTTTACTGTCACCGAGTCCTGCGACCGGATCAAGGAGGAGTTCCAGTTCCTGCAAGCCCAGTACCACAGGTGAGAGTCTGGATGGAGCATGGCTTTAATGGTGCATGGAGGTTTAACCTTATTGGCCAAATGTTTACAAAGGAGTATTACAACTTTCAGCATTGGGTTAAAGAGAGATTTTTATTATGGAGCTGCAACGACTGATGTATTAGCCTGAATTTTTTTGAAACATTTGTTTTAAATGTCTGTTCAGTTTTTCCTACTCAAAACAAATGTCCTAAATTGTCAATATGGGCTCTGAGAATGTATACTTTCATTTAATAAATGAATGGGATTATACAGGCAAAATGATTATTAGAGAAAATCATAGTGTCTCCTGCCTCAAAATATGACTTAAGATAGAAAGATGTACATTCGTGTGACCTGCCCTGCACCAGTTGTGTGTGGGTCGTACAGTATGACCAAAATATTAGGGAAACACTTGATGCACTGCCATGGAATTCAAGACAGAACCTGTTACGATTGAAACATTCTCAGTGTGAGTTAAACGTCCACCAGGAGATCCCAGGAAATGATTCTCTCCAGCTCCGGCAGAAAGAGTTTTAACACACTGTTAAGTCTGGTCCACCTTATGCTGGCAAACCCCCACCAACCTCGGTGTGCACGTCTGTCTCTCTCTCTGCAAGTGCAAATGGTGTGAAATATTTTTTTTTTTAACCCAGCATGATGAAGTGTGAAATACATTGCTTGGGGAAGAACCATAAACGCGATGCCAATGCATAATAATTGCTCACCTCAGGCCACCTTGTAATTATTCCCCCAATCATCTGGTGAGATGAAGCGGGGGTCCAGTTTGCTGGAAGATCCTGAGGCTGAAGGAGATGAACCAGGGATAGCATCTGCTGCATGTGTGTGATCAGACTGCTGCAGTGAAATGCAAACAGCAGGGAGACTCTGATTTGGTAAAATAAGGGAGCAAGAGTCAGACACGCACACAGAATATATATCAACACTGTCTTTGAAGGGATTCTGTTTTTATAGATTTCCATTTTTCATTTAGAAGAAATTAAAGCTACGATATTGTTGATTTACCATTTCGCTGAGAAGAATTATTGGCATCCACCTTAAATTAAAGTTCTTAGAAAAATGAAAGGATTCAAATATTAAAACAAAATTGATAAACTGTAATTGATCCAAACCTTTAAATCGCTCCATTAGTCTGTATTTATCATGTCAATATCCAAACATTACACACCTGATGGATTCCTCATAAAGAAAGATGCACAAAAGCTTCCGGTAAAACACAACATCCGAAAGACTTGAGCTTTTTTTTCAGTAACCACACTTTTATAATGGATCCTCATTATATGGTCGCTTTTTTGTCGATGGTGCAGTTTGGTCCCTCCACCACTCACCCTGTAAGAATATATGATGAGGTTTGCTTGGTCGTCCATTGATCCATTAATTACTCTACCTGCTGAGTAAGTGTCTGTGTCTGCAGGGACAACTGGTGTGATTCATGCAACACTTCTTTCACTCAAATTTAGAAATGCAAATATAAAGTAACAGAATGTTGACATGAAGAGGCTCGGTGTTCTGCAAGTGACGGCTCCAGTTTAATTTTTCAGTCCTATTTTTGTGAATGTGTTTCATCTCACACATACTTAACATGATTGACTGATTGATCACTGATCGGTTTAAACTTGAATGTGTGCGACAGTTATGGATTAGATGGTAAAAGACATTTTATTTTCTTTCTTCCCTCACAGTCTGAAACTGGAGTGTGAGAAACTGGCCAGTGAGAAAACGGAGATGCAGAGACACTACGTCATGGTGAGTTTCATATTGTGCAAATATGCCTCAGTATTTTTGCTGTGTGCAAAAAGCGGAACAGAGCGGACAGACATTTTTCTTTGACCTTACTTTGATCTGTGTTTTTTTTTCTTTTCTCAGTACTATGAAATGTCATATGGACTCAACATCGAGATGCACAAGCAGGTAGGAAACATTCAAGTCTTAAAAAGGAAGTAAAACCGGTTTCCCTCTGTAGAAGGTGTCAGAGGAATGTTCATGCTCGTTATGATCAACAGGAGCTTTTGGTTTTAATTCCGTCTTTGAAATAAAATGTCCCTCCATGTTTTTAAAGATCACACATTTTACCGGAACTGATGTGTTTGTAGTTCTGATCCAGCTTTGACTTTTTCTTTTGGTCAGTAGGTTCCTCACCGGTGATATTCTAGTGTTAAGCATCTGATTTCCCTTAAACTTACAGCTGTTTTGTCCGATTTCCCGGATCTTCAAAGACAAATGTTTTTTGAACGTTAAATAAGAGGAACAAAATCATTGTCCAAACAAAGATGGAAGCCACCTATGACCACATTTCAAAAGTGTGTAATCAGTATTTGTGTGCATCAATGTTTCCCACTGGTATTTTATATTTCTAATGTTCTACTAAAAGAGTTTCTGGTTACTTATATCAGGAAATATAATCACAGGTGGAGAAACTGATTAAATGTTAAAATGATTCTTCCAACACCTTCAGAGCAGCAGTAACCTGAACCAGCGCGCCTCTCTGTTCTGTAGAAAAGACACCAACACGAAATGACATGCTTCTGCAGAGTTAGTCACAGAGTCACGATCCGAGAGCCGCCCAAGGTGGGATAGGACACCTGAAGCTGATGTGTTCAACGTCACGCCTCTGATTCTGGTATCATGCTATCTTAAAATCACACACTGGGGCAGCGACATGCCGGTTCACTTCAGGTTTAACAAGAAAACGCTGCACTGGACGCGGTCTTCTTAACAGGAATACCGTGGTGTCCCTGTATATATGTAACAGATAATTTATCTCATCACAGAAACGGACTTATTTATAGCGCTCGAAAGGAGCGGGGCCTATTCGCCTGTTTCTCATTTCTTCTATTTCAGCGTGTTTTGTTGTCTAGTGAGGCTGAGCAGTCATTTTACACGTGAATAATAATTCCATCAGTTTAATTGCAAGAGAAAATGGGCTGAAAAATGACAGGAGTGACTGAGGATTTGTCTTTTAACGAGCCTTTACATTACTGCTGCCTTTTTTTAAACACTGAGGGTCATTAGCATAAATGTCTGTGTTAACCACACATCAGCTGCCAGGCTAAATGGGCCACAGCTAACTGAGCTACACATTCATTTCCTGAGAAATGGTGTGTGTGCATGTGTGTGTGTGAGAGGATGTGATAAATGCTTGGCCTTTGTCTTGCCGTGTGCATGGTTGTGTATTGGTGTGTATCTGTACTGTGTGTGTCCTTTTCATTGTGTGTACAAGTGTTTGAGAGGGATGTCTCTATAACAGCTTGTATGTATACTGTACACATTTACTAGGTGTGTGTGTGTGTTTGTATGTACACTGTTGCTGTTTATTTAGTTTTGTGTGCACGATTTGTGTATTTGTGTGCATTGTCTGTGTATATTTAGATGTTTACCAGGCTCTTTGTGTGTGTGTGTGTGTGTGTCTTTGTGCATGAATGTTGCACACGCAGCTTTTCATTGGCTCACTAATCAGACATGTTTGATGAAATATGGGTTGTCTACTATAAATCCTGCTGCTGCTGTGCTTGTGTATGTTTGTGTGTCTGTGTGTGTGTTTGTGTGTGTGTGTTTATTAGGGGGGAGAGGGAGAGAAAATAGAGAGAAAATGTGGACGGTGGCTCTGTGTGGTGCCCACAAATTTCTGTCAGGAAACAGTTTTGGAGAATGAATCTCGAATATCTGCCAACAGTCTCTGTGTCTGTGTGTTTGTGTGTGTGTGTTTGTGTGTGTGTGATTTGATGTTCAGGTTGTGTTTGTGTGCCCTGTTATGCTGGCGTGCATGCATCAGCGTTAATGCGTGTTTTCTATCCACCGTCCATTCGATAGGACGATACAACGTGTGTGGCTCATTGAGTGGAGGCCGTGATTGACGAGTGGAGGGTGGAGGTGGTGGTGTTGTCTGGGCGAGGGTGGCCTGAGGGGGGGGGGGGGCCTTAAGGCAGTCGGTCTCCACTACCGACGAGGGAATTGCAAATATTGCTTGTTTAGCATTTTCTGAGGGTAATAGGCTCATTGATTTTTGGCTCTGCTCTCTGTTTTATTTACACAGAAGGGCTCCGGTGCCTGGGGAATGAAATGTACCAACGCTCGTTAAAGAGAAATTGACTTGTAGACGGAGGGGAGGAACGAGGGGGCGAGGAGAGGGAGGACGACGGGGGTGCAGAGCATGGAACTGTGCTGCCAGAGGACAGATAATCAATTGCAAATTAGCGAGACTGAGAGAAGAATAAAGCGAGCGAAGGATGTGGAGAGAAAGGAGAGAGGGAGGGAGGAGAAAGTGGTGAGACAAGGAAGTAATAAGACGTTGTGATACAGAGGAATGACAGTGTTTTCAATGAGATCTGACAACTCATTTTGCTGCAGCAGAAGAGGAGCCATTTGTTTCAGTCCTTGGATTTTGGTTTTGTAACATTGCATTTAGAACAACATTAAAAGCACATTGGAACCTTTAGATTATAGTAAATACGATTTTAAATGACACAGTTATCTCTTTTAAATGTCCAGGTTCAGGTTTCACTTCAAATTTCCCTCCTGCAACGGTTCACAACCTGGGAGTCAGACTCTCAAGGGGTCCCAAACTTTAGACCTTAGTGGTCCTGAGATGACTGAAGGGATAAGTTTGGCATTTTGGGAAATACATGTATTTTCTTTCTTGCGGAGAGTGAGAAGATTAGCTTAGCATAGAGACTGGAAGCAGGTGGAAAAGCTAGCCTGGCCCTTTCCAAAGATAATAAAATCTCTGCACCAGCATCATTGATGCTCACTGCATCCTGTTCTGTCTTGTTGACGTACTAAGCCACACATAAAGTGTAAAAATGACAAGATGGTCATGTGCCACACTAGTTTTTCATTGTGTGTGACTGTCCTACTGGTGTGAGAATATTTTTTTTTTTTGTCTCTGCCAAGTGGGTTTGTTTTTTCATTGGTTGGTTTGTTTGTCAGCAGAATTATTCAAAAGCTGCTCAATGGTTTACCACCACACTTGGAGGAAGGAGGCAGAATGGGTCAGGAAAGAACCCATTACAATTTGAATCCGGATCTTTTTCCACAGAATGAATCTGTGGTAGCTGGGGTGTTCTTGCACAAAGGTTGCTCTCCAGTGCATCAGATTGATGTTGCAGAGTCACATGTAAAATGGAAGTTGCACCGCAGCTGAAACTGAGGTCTGAGTGTCTGCGATAACAATTTTAAGGATGACAGCGTAAATGATCAGACCGCACACAGCTATACAACTATACAAGAGCAAAACGCCAAGTGCAAGATGTTTTCTGTTGCTCTGAGAATGTTTTTAGGTTCATTATGAAACCCTGGCTGGACAAAGTAGCCTTCGGCTGGAGATGTTCTCTTGCTCCCTTCGGATTTTTCTAGTTATTCAAAGAAAACTAGTCTTGTAAAAAAAATTGGTAAGTTGGTGCCAGGAGCCCATTTCACAAAAGCAGGTTGTGAATTTAGCAAAGAGTTTTACCCATGAAATAAATCCCCACACTAAACACTCACTTAGCACTTCAAGCTGTTTGGAGCTTTGTGTGTACAGAGCCTTTTGTTTGTCCTCCCTGTCTCCCCCTACCTGTCTAGCTATGTCTTTCTCTCACACACACACACACACACACACACACACACACACACCGTCACAAGGGAATCCAGCCTTTATATAGCGGGGTCCATTAGTTGTATTAGCTGGTGGTGAACAGTGGTGCTGATGTGGTGCTTACAAAGCTCCACAGGGGAGATGGACATTTGATCTTCTATCTGACCCAATCTGACTCCAGGGCTCCTGCCTGATCTAATTTCTTTGTTGTTAGGAGCTGAAGTGGGAGCATTTCAGCTGATTTTCTTTTTTTTTAAATTCTTTTGGGCAACATTTTAAGTGTTAAGTGGTTTTTGCTGCAGTGGTTTTTTGTGTGTGCTCACTGTAGACCATTGTACTGCAACAAGCTAAAAGAGTGAAAGCTTATTCAGTGGTAATATTGTCTTTTCCTTGCACCACTTATCGCACGTTGTTGATCTGATCACAAGCAGGAAACCGACATTCCCTCTCAGAGCTGCATCTGCTCGCTGATTTTTCTCCTTTCTAACTGGAGGAGCATTTCTCCAGTGACTTGCATACAAGGTCAAAGATAAATTCAGTGCACTTGATCTTACTTCAGAGGTCGCTGGGTGTTATGTGCCCGTGGAGTCCTCTAATCTAGCAATAAACTCAATGGATTGCCCTGTTTGGAGTCCTAACCTTAGAAAACTCCCTGGCCAATCGTCTCTTCTTATTTATTTACTGTCGAAATGGTGACAGGTTTCAGGTCAAAGTCAAGACCTGCTCGCTTGCAAATTCAAATTCTCCAGGTTTGCATAAACCAAAGAATGTTTCTTTTTGAGAAAAGGACTCCTGAGAGATTTCACGTTTCACTTTGGTGTGTGCAGCGTGTATTTTCCAAACAGGCTGACATACCTGCACTCTGGCCGACAGTCACGATTGTCTGCCATTGATGTAAAATGTCACCTGAAATTGGATGTGTTGCCTCGTGGAAAAGCATCTCCATTTCCTTTTCTGCTCCAGCGCTTTTGTTTCCGTTTGTGTGCCGACGTGTCGGGGTCACCTCTTCACATTGAATTCAGAGGAGGTTTTATCTTTAGCACTGATCTAAGAAGCTTTATAATCCTCATTTATACACTAATGTTGTGTTTCAAAATAAAGCCATTGCATTGTTTCTTTACTATATCAGATGTTTTGCATGTTTTAGCCTCTTTGCTCAAATTACATGAACAACAAATTATTTTCTGTAATCAGTCTCTTGAATGTCTTGGTTTTTCGGTCTGGTCAAAAACATTTCAGAAATTAATAAAAAATCTCCAGATAAAAAGTTAAATGCCAGAGAGGAATTAGTAAAACCACCAAATTTGAGATGCTGCAATCATTGAATCTTTTACTTGAAAAAGTCCTTGACTGTCAAAATCATAGACTTATTATAAAAATACAAGGTAAGTTCCAGGTCTAGAAACTCCACTGGTTGCAAACATTTGATTCATGTCCGTCTCAGTTTCTAGTTTCTAGTCTTTTTCAATAAAGCTTGATTTTCAGTTTGTAAAAATCAAGGTATGAATGGATGCTGTGTAGATATTGTGTGATTGACAGCTAGTACAGTCCAATGGGTGGATGTCACAGGTCACAGTCAGGCTCCTCCCCCTACTAATATAGCTACCACAAAAAAAATCGACAAAATGCTAAAACTTTAAAATGGCAGTTCACGCTTCATGACTCACTTAAAGAATTCATAAATAAAATAAACGGGTTGATATGACAGTAATATTTCCTCCTTTGCTTCCAGCATGATTGATAAATGATAATGGCCAGTAAATGGCTTTCGTCGCCGTTTTGTGACACTTCTTGTATGACAGTCTGAATTTGTTTTACCCAACAAGATTGATAGGTGTTGTTGTCCTAACTGTGGGGTTGCCTGGCAGCCCTCTTACACTGGAGAGGATGTGGCAACACGATCCTCCCCTCTGCGTCTGTCTCCTGTCCTTTCACTGTCTCCTTGAACATCTATTTATGCCAGACCAGAGGAAATAGTTCTCGCACTCATTCACTTCTTCAGCTGCAGGGTTTTGGTGTTATCCTCATGGAGGCTCGCCAACTGATGAAAATACTGAGTTTGTCCTTTTTCCCCCTCAACACCCGACACTAAGGTTGAGCAGGGAACGTAAAACCCCAACCGAGTGCTTCGGCGGAGATTCTCAGAGGCTGATATGTACTGGGCAGCTATTCCCGGTGTACATGAGTATACAGAAACCAGCTGAAAAAGGGCATGTGTGCACAGCAAGTCTTCCATGGATAAACATTAAATATAAAATGAAAATGTCAGTGTTTTAGGTTGTGTGTGCAGCTGCAGCTCTGAGTTAATCACAGGTAAGCTGCAGCCCTCCCTCGAGGTCCCCATCTGCCTGGCACTAAATGGCTCAGACATCCTGTGTCTTACAAAATTCTCTACATTTATGGCCTCTGAAGTCCTCAAATCAATATAATCTATAATTAATGAGACATATGATGCTTTTTCAGTGTTTCTTTCTTCTACTGTGTCATATACAGGTTTTTTTGTTCCTCTGCAAAGTTAAAAAAGCCCAAAGTCTGATGTGAAGGGAGTTCATCGGAAACTCAGACCCTGAAGCTTGTCAGTATTATTTCGCATCGATACCCCACGTTTGTATAAGGGATGTCTAGCAGCTAGTTTGGCACCGCCCCTACAAAGCCAGGCAGAAGGTGTGTCCCAAGTCACTGGCCGCAAACTTCGGAGGCTGAATTTGGACTTATTGCGTCACAGGGGCGCAAGAAGGCCGTCCCATTTTGTAACATGCAGCTGAAGAGATGGATTCTACCAGCTCTCGCGCTTAAATGACGAACCATTTTTCAAAAAGGCGCCAGCAAATGACAAGACGACAATGGTTGAATAATACACTTAAAATCAAATGTACAACTAATGGAGCACATATTTTAAAAAACAATGTGCATTCAAACCGAGCTGGTTCGGCTACACGGTCTGCGCGGCCCGGTCTTTGTGGGTCGGGTGGACTTAAAATAGTAGCTGATTATTTCCTGTAAATAAACGAACCGATCGACCTGTCCTTTCAGATCAAGACGCCCGATGCAATTAGTTTATAAGAATAGGCAGCAATAATATGTGTCAAGCAAAGCAGCCGTTATTTAGAAACAGCAAATTTTACCGGCAGCAATTTCCCCACAAATGAATCTGCCGCAGGCACTGACACAGTAAAGTTCATCACAGTCAATGACAAATGAAAAGACACTCAGTTGCATGTATTTAGTCCTACAAATAAAAATGGAGATGTTGATCCTTTTGTGCCTGTTCGCTTGTGTTTCTGTGTGAGTCGGAGTCTTTTGTCTGTGTTTGTGTTTGGGTCTGAGTTGCACTGCTAGCACTCCCTCTGGGACAGTGGATCAGGCAATTTCCTGATGTTGGGAAAGAGAGTGCTGTATAATCTTTAAAAGCCAACCGTTGGGTTCAGTAAAAACATCTGATGAATACAGAGGAGGCTGTGGAGGTGTCTGTGCACGGTTGTGTTTACGTGTGTGGCATCCTGCTTCAGTGCTGCTCCTGCCGACGTTTGAAAGGTTTGTATCAGTGGGTTTGCTTCTCATGGCCTCTGGGGTCTTCTGTTACCACTGATACCAAAGCAGAGTTCACCTCTGTCAAGGTTGTAGAAATGAGACATACACCTGACAATGTTAGACATGCAGCTCCTTTTCTGTGTATTTAGTTCTCAGTTTATTCAGTCGGCTCTTTATTTAGCGGATGAAGTCGACTAAAATCTCGCTTGTCTCATGTTTTCCTTCAGCTGTCTCTCCCCGAGCTCTTCTCAAATCTCAAGCGGACCAAGTCCTGGGTTTATATTCGCAAATCATCCATCAGGCTGATTGATGCTCAGGAAATGCAGCTGTAAAGTAAACTTCAAGAGTTGCTGAATGATAAGCAATACAGCCTGATTGATACCGTTTTTTGAGGTGGTCGATATTTAAAAAAAGATATATAAAGTTGTATCAGCTGCCAATCGATGGTTTGTGAACAAAAAGCATCCTGAGCAGGACGTTTCAGGGGTTTAATTTAACTGTTTAACTGTTACCACTAAATTGTTCTCACAACTTTGACTCTCAAAAAAGTCAACATCTTCCAGTGTAATGGTTCTAACTTCACTTCACCGTTTTCAGACATTTCCTTCGGAGGATCTCTGGAGAATTGAGTTCCAGAACTTCTTCGCAGTTTGCTTCAACAACAGATTCTCTCGACATCTTCATCTGTGTCTTCTTTCTGTACATGGATCTGTTTTTTCGCGTCGTGTTAGAAGCCTCATCAACCCCCCCCCCCCACTCATGATCTCCTGCTGTGTTCTCACATCTGCTCCTACGGACTTTCTGCAGACTTTATAGAAGTGGGCCAGGCGGAGAAAGTCTGCACTCACTCGAACATTTGCATCCAGACGCTGCTGGAGAAAAAGGGGAGGATCTCCGGAGCTTGTGTGTGTCTGAAAGCAGCTTTAGTGAATGTTCAGATATATTGAAATGTTCTGTGAACATTGTGGAGAGATGTGATCATTGTTCCTGAGGGAAAAAAAGGGATTACAACACTTTTTAAAATCTTTAGTCAGACTCCCTGGCTGATACTTTACAATAGACACTCAGTGATAAAGTGGCGTTGGCTTTGTTCTGGTGACATTTGTGCTTTGGTGGTTCTTAGATCATCTTTAAATCAAACAGTGTGGAAGGAACTTTAGATAAAGTTTGTTTTGCTATTTCTGCTCATGCTCTCCTTATTAACTACAAGTCCTGAAATTTAAAATGCACACCTTCCCGCAAGCCAAAAGATTTTTCCTTCTTCCCCATCAGGCTGGTTTTTAGTTTTAACAGCGACTGCTTCAGATTAATGTCATTATGTTTCATATGAACTGGCCCCGCAGATATTGATGTGAAAATGATTTGTCTCCTTGAGTTTATCACACCTCAAACTGTGGTTGATGTGAGCAGTCGTAGGTTGTGTGTGCGGACGTCGACAGTTTTTCTCTCTGCTGGTGAATTTGAACATGAATGTGTTTTCTGCGCCCACCCCTCTGTCTCGCAGGCGGAGATCGTCAAACGGCTGAACGCGATCTGTGCCCAAGTCATCCCCTTCCTCTCTCAAGAGGTAAGACTCAGAAACGTCTGTCAGTGCGAGTTAAGACTGAGGTGGGTGCGTGAGAGAGAGACAGAGAGACAGAGAGAGGGAGGCAAGAAGAGAGATAGGAACCATAGAAGGAGGAGAAGAAGTGTGTGGTGGGTTGTGAGGCAAAACAGACAGATACTGACACACACACACACACACACACACACACACACACACACACACACACACACACACACACACACACACACACACACACACACACACATAGTCAGATTATCCTGGGCTAATCCTCCCTGCTCAGGATAGGCAGATATGTTATGAACTTATTAAATGTCTCCCACTAACATATGCAGGAGTGTGTGTGTGCGTGCGCGCGCATGTGTGTGTGTGTGTGTGTGAGAAATATCTTTTGTGTGTGTATTTCCACATCTGAATGCACATTAAAATTGTCTTAAATACACTGTAAGCATGTTCATACAGTGGTGGGTGTAAGAAGTGTGTTATTGTGTGTTTATGAAATCTCTGGGTGAGAGTGTGTGCGTGTGTTTATGTGTGTTTAGGTGATAAAACCATCCTCTGGTGGATTTGAATATGTGTGTGTGTGTGTGTGTGTGTGTGTGTGTGTGTGTGTGTGTGTGTGTAAGGGTGGGAACAGCAGGAAGGAGTGAGTGTGAGCGCCAAAGCTCTCCTCCAGATTAGCCATGGATTAGGAGGGTTTAAGGTGGATTAGGAATAATGGCATTAGACTGCGGTGCTGCTACACAGGCCTGAGGCCCACAGAGAGGGGAGGCAGGGAGAGGAGGCAGCTTTTACCGCTTTGTTTCCATGCACAGCCTCGTTTAGTGAGCGTGCATGTGAAATGTAAAACAATCATGTTATTAACACGTTGCTTTCACATCGACTGCGCTTGCTCGTGTCTTCGAGAGCTCTTTTTAAAAAATCTTTCATTTCTGTCATATTCTTATTATGATTGATTCTTTTTTGACAGTTGTATTGTTGTCACCAATGAGATGATGCACCAGCTAACCCACTGAATCCAGAAATAGATTCACAAATATATTTTACTGTCATAAGAGTCATACACATTATTTCACACGTATAGATAATAGATAGATTTCATTTTTCTGTTTATATCTATGGTTAATACATATTTTGAATCAAGTCATTATCTTCATACATGTGAATTTCAATAATATTTTTATAATGAGTGACAGGAGCTTGTGATATTTAGAGTCTTGTTTTGAAACAGTGTAAACGTGTAATTTATACTTAACTACAAAATACAATGTTTGACAATTACCTGACCATATTATTACTGTTGATGATATTCTGCCTCAACTATATATTTTCCTTTTCTTACCTTTCACTGTAAGTGTGTGTGTGTGTGTGTGTGTGTGTGTGTGTGTGTGTGTGTGTGTGTGTGTGAACTTGATGCTCAGGTTCATTTCCACACCTGATAAACTCTTTCATCTCTGGTTTTACTTTGATGTTGCTCTCGCTCACTGTCTGGATCTGTCTCTCTCTCTGTACCCTCTGGATGACTTTGCCATCTTACCTGTCTGTCTCTTCCTCTTTAAACATGCCTGTCTCTCAGGGTGTCTGTCTCTCCTTCCTTCAACATGCTTGTCTCTCAGGGTAATTGTAAACACACTGGGCTCCTCCATAAGACACTGTAGGAGTTAATATAGGGATGTTTGGCCACTAGTTATTCTTCTGCCCATTCGCAAACATGAGCCGTTCCCTTCTGCCTCCACCTGTTTGAATTCAGCTCCGCAGAGGAGGAATTAACTGGCCTGCGCAGGTCACATTTGACCAACTAGTCCGCCATAATTAGCCGCACATTTACTCTAATGAACACTCTGGTGAGCGTCAGCCCGTGAGGAGGAGGAGCGCTCGTTTTAGATAAAGAGCAAAGCTGCAGAGATGAGTCAGAAGTGTCTCTGCTTCTCGTCTGATGGTATTTAACATTGATGTGGTCAGAGCTGGCGGTTTTTACAACATGGTCGAAACTGGTGGGTGAGAAAACGTCTGGATCAAAGCGCAGTGAGAGACAGAGGTCTCACTCTGTTCCTTCACATTCACGCCTGTTTTAATGAGAAAGGCCCCATGATGCTTTTCTGACTGAGTTACTACGAGTTAGCCGTGTTAGAATAGAGAGATCACAGATGTTGAAGGCGATTCCCAGACGTTCAGAGACTAGCTTCATGCTTTGCAATAGATTTTTGATGTATCTCCATCTTTATTTAACGCTATAAGAGGAATAGATTCTTGAAAATAGATTCCTTTTATTTTTCCAAAGATGATTTGATTTTTGTAACTTGTCTCAGTAGCTGTTTTTAGTGACTCTCTCTCTCTCTCTCTCTCTCTCTCTCTCTCTCCCTCCCTCCCTCTCTCTCTCTCTCTCTCAGCACCAGCAGCAGGTGGTGCAGGCGGTGGAGAGGGCCAAGCAGGTCACCATGGCTGAACTCAACGCCGTCATAGGAGTGGGTGTTGCACATGCACACACAAACTCACCCTCTCTCTCTTTCTCTTTTGAAGAAAGAGACGTGCTTTGACACATTTATTAAAAACAGCTTTTCCATGGTCAAAACTAGAATTCAGTTTTACAGGAGTTTTTGCTGAGATGTGACAGACTCTGTGACAGACTCGGTTGTTTTTAAATCGATATCTTCATCGATATTAACCTCTGATATGCAACACTCAGAATGCCACGAACATTATTGTTTTCCTTTCTTATCTTTCATTTTGTCTTTCTCTTTCCTCGTTTCTTCATCCCATCTCCCTCTTCATTTCGGCCGCTTGTTTAAAACCGTGGCATTAATCAGTGGTTCTGTGTGTGCTTCAGCAGCAGCAGCTCCAGGCTCAGCACCTCACCCACGGCCACGCCATCCCCATCCCACTTACGCCGCACCCCGCCGGCCTCCAGCCGCCCCTGCCCCCCGGGGCCAGCACTGCGAGCCTGCTGGCGCTCTCCTCTGCGCTGAGTCACCAGCTGCCGCTCAAAGACGAGAGGAAACACCACGACAGCAACAGTGAACACCCGAGAGGTGAGGCCTGCTCTGAACGGACAGTGTGTATTGAACTGCGACATGTTTGTGTTTGACTGTTTCTGGGCCAGTGATGGCGTCTTTACGTCCAGAATAAGTCTAAGGAAGCGTCACTGATTTGTTTGGTTACTTTTTCTTCATGCATCTTTATTTGATTACAGCATTAATTTAAATGTCTGGTCAGTTTTAAATGTGGGTAATGTACAGTGGAGTCTAAAAGTCTGAGACCGTGATGTCAGACCTCTGGACTCTCTGTATAAATCTAACTGAATTTTTGCATCATACATTATTTTACATTCTGGTTTTCATCTTTAAAATTCATATCATATTCTAGAATCGTATTAAATAACTAATCTTAACTACATTGCTTTAAATCTTTCTGTTACATGTCCATTGATGTTTCATTTATCAAAACCAAGACTAAAATATAACTTTGTTTATTTGAGACATTTTAAAAACAGTAACAACCCTTTATATGCTGTATTTAATACAAATAGCTGAAACTTGTGCTGCTTCATTGATTCATTTTATACTAAATATGTTTAATAGGATACTGATGCTTTTATCATTTCTTCAGTTAATGACCACAAACTAATTTTACATGTCTAGAATTGTCAGTTATGAATTATGTCTCCACTCGTACTGATGCTCAGTTGTAAGTGCTCTGAATGAACAGCAGTTAAAGCAATTAAAAACTGATTTGTCATTATGCTATTTTAATTGGCCTAACCTGGAGCCACGCACAACCACCACGATGCCTCTTTTCTCTTGCACATAAGGAACGCGTCTAACTCATCTCCACGCTGACGCTGAGCTCAAGCATTTAATTACCCTCTGTGTGTGTGTGTGTGTGCGTGCGTGCGTGCGTGCGTGCGTGCGTGCGTGCGTGTGTGTGTGTGTGTGTTGTGTTGTGTGTGTGTGTGTGATTACTCTGGAGCAGTGAGGGATTTTACAGTGCAGCAGAGTAGTTAACCTTGCCCTGTAGCTGCAGTGAAGCTAACAGCTGCTAACTCAGGTAACACTCACCCCAGTTAGGAGCTCAATGAATAACAGCGCATCTCAAGCTGAGAACGAGTGAGACTAGGTTTTGTTATATCTACTATATCTTTTTTCTATATCCTCCATTTCTTATTTCTTATCGGGCGACACATACGGTGATAATCATACATAATATCAAAGTGCTGTTTGGAAATTGCAGTTTTTATTTTCCTTAATTTCACATAGTTTGTAACTTTGAATGAACTAAATCAATCAAACTTTATTTGTAAAGCACATTAAGTGCAATTCAAGGTGCTTTACAGGTGATTGACAAAACATAGGATGTAAAAAATGAATTAAAAAGGATTCATTGAGATTTAGAGACGAAATCTTATATTAGAAAAAGTGAAAATAAAAGAATGTTAATATAATACAGTGTATATAATCAACACTGAAATGTTAGTTAAACGAAATTGAATTAGATAAATAATGATAAATATATCAAAAAAGAGGTTTCGTGTTGTTGTGGTGGCCAATGAAATTATTTTTACTTTTGCCTTGTTGCGCTACATTTTAGATTTAGAAATAATAACAATAGATTTATTAGAAATAAAAATGAGAATACAACATTTACTTATTTTTGTACTAGGCATGGAAAAGTACTGCACAGATTTAGCAATGTGCCTCTAGTGGACACTTGTATTTGTATTTAAAATAAAGTTATGTTTATTTTTGTTATCTGGTCTGTGTGTGTTTGTGTGTTTGTGTTTGTGTGCAATCAGACAAAATCTCAGTTTTTCTCTTTTCTTCTTTCTTTCAGACAGAGACTCAGTCAAGGTGAGTGTGTTATTTATTTTGTTCTATGACAAACTCTGCCATAGGATTAAAAACACAGATAAGGGAATTGATTGTAGTTAACACACATTAAACCACCATTAAACCCGCCCTGCTTCTTTATTCATCTTTATTCTCAGTACACACGCTCGTAGCTGTAATATGATTTTAGCCATAATACGGGAACATTTAAAAATATTAATGTTCATATCCTGACCGCAGATCATCACGCTAATATAAATGAGTAATGATGAGACATGAATCTGCAATAAATCCCTGTATGAACTTCATATCTTCTGTTCCACTTTATGTATTCTACCCTTGTGCTGTGCTGAATAACCATGTATTTAAAATATCTGATATGTGAAAATGGTGCCAAACAGGAAGAAAAACTGGATGAAAGAGAAACCCCAAGATGAGCAAAGAAAAAAAAGAAGTCTGGTTAGTGAAGGAAGGAGGGAGCAGAAAGAGGCAGCGAAACAGATCAATGTAACAACCAGCGCTCGCAGTAATTAGTCCCTTAAGCGGAGCTTTTTTCCCAGGGCAAACATTTGGTTTGTTGAATACTCAATGAGCAGATTAGCATTTCTTTATTCAAGCAGCCCCAGCTCTCTCTCACACACACACACACACACACACACACACACACACACACACACACACACACATATGAATGAGTTCTGCGGGTTGTGTGTGTTCTCTGGTGTTTTGGAATCGGTTCAGACAGGAGGAATGTTTTAATATGTTATCTCCTGCCCCCCATGTTGTATATCCTCCTCCGCACTTACACTCAGAGCTGTAGGCACCATGATGGGAGTGATTAGCTGTGTGTGTGTGTGTGTGTGTGTGCGCTGCCTCTGTTTGTCAGGAATCAGTGATAAAGATACAGAGACCAGAATGATGAATGCCCTTCATGAGCCCACACAGGAGCGTGAGCACACGCACAGAGCTGCTCTTTGACATGGCGGCCAACAGTCACTTCATGAAACCAATAAGCCCCTTGTCAGTGGTCTACAGTTGCCTTGGCAACAGTCCACGGGGCACACGCAGGGTGTGTGAATTGCATGAACATCTATGAACATCTGTGCCTTAATGTCCTTGGCGACCACACACACACTGACAAAGGTATGTGGGTGTAGACGTGTGTGTGTGTGTGTGTCTGCATACGTACTGTTGTCAGTACAAGCAGTCACTTATGCAGTCATGGTGTGTTCAAGGACTGCTTCTCCTCAGGCCTGTTGTTGTTGTCGGTTGGATTGAGTGCACTTATCAAATGAAGCTAATTGTTGGTTCAGTTACTGTATCAATCGCCATTGATTCCTGCTGCGGCTGCTGCTGCTGCTTTTATTGTGTGTATCTGTGTTTTGTTCCCACGTGTGATGAATTCCTCTCAGCTGAAAGGTGATGCGTCGACTCAAGTGCTCACTTTTTTTTAAATGACCTTAAATATAATCATCTTTGATTTTGCGATGTAGGAAAAAAGAAATAAATTCTTAATGAGGCTGCTTTCAAGTTTAGACTGACCTTTACGGTGAATCACCTGTTGCAGTCAACACGCTGCAGCTTGTTGTTAGAGTTGTCAGCGACCCTCACACGTCTTTTTATTTTTTATTTTTTTTACTTTTTGTCTTGAACTCTTTCAGTTGCAGTCTGCTTCTCATTGTTAATGGTTGAATGTTCTTTTCCAAATACAGCGTTCAGTCGGGCCTCCCATGCTGAGTTGGCTGCAGAATAAGAAACAAATTGTGTGGAACAGAAAAGATCAGAGATGGTGAACTCAGGCTCTTTGGTGTGAGCGGAGTCGTCATAGCGGAGAAACTAGGGGGATAAAATACAGGATTTACAAATGGTGGACACACAGGCAAAGAGAAAACGAGTCTTGTTCTCGCGAAAGAAAGAGAAAACAGGACGGGAGGAAGAACAGATGGGAGAAACCAAACAAAAGACTCAATGCAAAAGATTTTTGCTGCATCCATTCAATATATTGTTAAAATGGCTGAATTTGCATTGAATACGTTCAAATTATATGTTTTTCAGAATTTAATCTCAATTCAAAAGGTCATTTAAGAGCTTTAATAAACTTTTTCAGTCACATTTCTTTGTGTTGACTCACATGCTGAGGTGACTTCATGTCCTTGGAGAAAAGAACGTCTTTAGAGCAGTTTTAAAGCTTTCAGTCATAATACATGATATTATATTACATATCGCATTTGATAGTGTATTTCTATATGTTATTACAGGCATCAAGTTTTTTAATGAACTTTAAGACAACATATATACGTCTCTGTTTATGAGAGCGACACAGTGGAGTCAAGCTGTTTGTAAAACTGAACTAAAAAAGAACACGTGTAGAGGTTACAGATTCCTTATCAGGATTTGCAGAATCAATTTGAAATGGGAGGCAGATAAGATTATGATGTGCTTGTAAATGAATACTTTCACCCAGCAACACTGCACGGTTCTCCACACTCACAAAGCTCATGCTGCCGCCGGCGGAGCCTTCATTTGTCTCTGCAGCGAAATTAATTTGCCTTGATGTTTTTGAAAGAGCTAATTTGCAGGCTAATTAATCTAATCAGTCTGAAAAGAGAGGGGGAGAGAGAGAGTGTGTGTGTGTGTGTGTGTGTGTGTGTGTGTGT